CCCCCAAAACCCCAAAACCCCAAAACCCCTTTAACTTTCACCAAAATTGAATATGGCTCTTACAAGACTGCTCGGCCTTCTAAGGTAATTACTAATGAAGAAATCCAGGGATCTCCCCATGACCTATCAATGACATGGACACCTCTACCAGAAATTCCAGTAATAATCAGTCAGGTTAAGGCCATTTGTGAGAAATATGGTTATTTCTTATCATTCTCAGCATCAAAGAAGCTGAAATTCCTCGCTCTAAGATCCAGTACTTTCTCTGAATTGTGCTTCTTGAGGTCATATTCATCATCGTCTTCATCTGATTTGTTAACTCTCATCTAGGAAGGTTATAGTAAGACTTACCGGGATTTTGAATGACTGAGGCTCGACTGGGTCTTCCTTGCTATCAAAATACGGAATGTCGTCTATAAGCAATAGTTATACATCGTGTTGAGGAGTTTAGAGATAGACAATTGGGCTTAAAGAGTCAGTTTAGACACTTCTTCGATAAATTATGATGGGCTCAAGGATTTTGAGAGGTGGATATTGTGGCAATGGGGTAAATAGAGTGGAGATATTGGAGTTTAGGGACCTGATAAAGCTTAAAAGTCGTTGAGTGGATAAATTGAGTAGTCATTTTGATCCCTTTTCTTGATTTTACGAGTTTCTTACCTTCCAAATTAGTGATTTTCATCTTAACTCCGTTATCAAAATAATCATTGAGCGAGTTTTGATTTATTAATCTAGATGAGTCAGGCATAAAAAATTACTTTTCCTCTTCAAGAGCAGATTGGTGTTTCAAATTAGTATTGCTTTTACTCTCTAAAAATAACTCTTAAGGCTACCTTTCAATCGCCGAGGGAAAGTCTTTTTAGGTACTAAGAAGTCCTGAAACTCTTGCTCCTCCAAAGGTAATGCTTTGCGAACCTCATCAGCACAGTAGCTCATATTGGGACTTTTAGCAGAGAAGAAGCTTTGCAGCTTTCTAAACAGGATTATTCTTACTAGTGTACCTCTCCTCTTCTTTATCTTTTTGCTTCTTTGAGTAGAGAGATTCAACGCTTCCATACATGTCTAAGACAAACGCGACTACAATATTGAGCATGACTACGACTGACACGAAGTAAAAGAAGATAAAGAACCATCTAGCATGCTTAGATCCCATTACATTTACATGCACTTGAACTATCAAGAACCAGTTGTTTACTACCATAAGCGCAAAGAGAGTAAGAAGGCTGCTTCCCAGGTCATTAAAGTTCATCTCTACAAAGATATCAGGGACGCTAGAATCCTTAAAAATTTGTTCTTCTTTATTTGAGATCTTTCCTCCAAATAATCTGTCTCCGATTATGGCAAAGAAGAAGAACAGCATAAAAGTAACAAATAACAGAGTATAGATAGGGCTCAATAATGCACTTGCGGTGTGTATTATCATTTTCCATTGGTGCACCTCCTTGAGTAGCTTCAGCATCCTCAGGGCTCTCACTATAAAATTGTTAAGCTAAATAATTGGAGATTTAACCAGATTTTAAGAAAATTCATCATTTTAGTGAAATTTTAAGAATATTTCATCAGAAATACTTACAGATAATGGTTATTTGCAGAGTCTTAATGAGACCCATTCCTTCACCAGAATAGCCGAAGTTAAACAATGTCAGGATATTAATAATCTGCAAAAATAGCTCTAGTCTCACATAGTTCCTTGAGTATAATGCATAGGATATACCATAGCTAAAGAAGATGAGCATGAGCTCGAATAGGAACACGAAATTGATGATTATTTGAGCTAGCATTAATTCTGAGATCCAGTCAGTGATATCTATGCCTAGCAGAACTACAAAATTCAGAGAGATGATGATGCTTACTACACACTCATAGAAAGGATGTTTGAGCAGCCTCCTCATAAACTGATTTCATTTTGTTGACTCTACTTTATTTGTACGGCACATCTTGTGTTTGGATCTTTAATACATCTACCAGATCAAAGTAATCTATAAAGTTTTCTAACGTTATGGTCGTAGTGTTATTTCTTGAGAAACTAGAGGCTTTATGTAGATTTGGCTGCGAATCCTTCAATGAAATCTCAAAATCCTTCCCGCATTTGCTCATAAAGGTATTAACTATCCTATCCAAGGTGATCTGCGATTTTTCATCCTTCTTGTCTGTCATAACTAGGATATCTTCAAGTAGGCTTCTTAGCTGCTTGATTTTCAGCTTACCAGTCTTTTGAACATCATATTGCTCAAACTTCTTTTGGAGATACTCATTTCTCTCTTCTACAAAATCATACAAAGATTTCTCAACTCGGCTCTTATAAGTGCTATAAAACGAGGCCAGGATCAGATTCATTGTGAAGAAGAGGCCCACAATGAGATAGATCACAAAGAATACACAATACAATTTATGTGAATGGTAAGCTGGCAGCATGATGTCAGGAAAATTAGCGGTTGTCAGCAAAATCAACAAATTCCAACACCCCTCAGAAAGAGAGGAGAAATAAACCTCTCCTTCCTGAGTTCCTTGGAATAGGATGGTTCCTATCCAGCCGAAGAAAATGTTGTATCCAATGATGAGCACAACGATTTCTTTCGAGTCATAGACTACTAAAATGATCCGGCGTACAGATTCTCTTAAGGATCTGAGGAATATGAATGTGATAAATACTCGCACCACTCTGCTTAGATAAGGACCTTGTTTAAGCGTTTGTGCAATGATGATATCAACAATAGCAATGATACTGAGGATTATCAACGAAATTTCTCGTACTTTTGAATGATAAGAGATTATCTTAAAGGTTCTCCTGAACAACACGAAAAACACAAGTATCAGAAGAAGGACTATCGATAAGATATTTCCCATTAGGAAGGGAATTTTAGGAATCCCAGAATTTGGGTAAACCTCTTTATCTCAGGTGGAATAGTCTTTGACTTTCTCGTTCTCAATACACCAAGTTGGGATCTCAAAGAAAGCGAGCAAAACATACACCGCTAGAGAGAAGTACTTAAAGAATTGTAGCTTATTTATAAATCCTTCTGTATTTTTCGGCCTTAGGAGTTTTCTTAGTTCGTCTCTTCTTCTTGATCTCATAATCTATTGACAACATGAGGTTCTTAGTGAGGAGGTCATCACCATCGTAAGACTTGCCCATGGCTCGCTTGCCGCTACTACTATCTCTATAGAAAGATGTGGCAGAAAAATTATCCATTCTTGATTAATAAAAATTATATAAACTGGGGTTTTGGGGTTTTGGGGTTTTGGGGTTTTGGGG